CTTTGTCAAATTCATCAAATGGCCTCGGGCCTAATTCATATCAAATGGCCTTGGGCCCATTATTTTCTATACTCATATTTATGCACATTTCATGTTCGTGATCATGATCACCTTTTTGTTCAAACGGCCTTTGGCCCACTACATTCATATTCAAACGGCCTTAAGCCTAATTCGTATCAAACGTATCAAACGGCCTTAGGCCCAATTCATATCAAACGGCCTTGGGCCCAAATCATGTTCTTTGTAAAGCCTTATACAAACATTAGGCATATCGAATACTCATTCACAATTCAAATAAACAAATCCATGAAAACTTACATGTGGAAAATGAATGAAATATCTCTATCAAGACTGGACTTCCAATAATTTTAGAATTCAGGAAATCAAAGTATGGACAGCCCAAGGCTTCTTCCAATGTATATACACTATTTGTGTATGTATACGTCTCTATATAGGGTAAATTTCATTTTGATCCTTATTATTTTAAATTTAACATTTTGGTTTTTATACTCGGAGTTGAGTCTAGTTTCAACTTGGTCATTCTTTTCAAGTTGAAGGTTAAAATTAATTATTTTGGAACACTTGTCACACATAGGAAAAATTAATAGAAATTTCGATAAAAAGACCAAATTGAAACTGGAATTAAAGTATAAGGATTAAATTGCTCAAATTAAAATAATAGGAACCAAGATCGTAAGCAGCACCTTTTTGCCAGATGATAGTATCAAACACACAAAAAACAGAAGTATAACACAGTTTGGTTAACAATAATACTATCTTTAATTGTGTCCTTTATCCAACCCTAAGCAAACATGCTACAACCATATACATAATCTCATGCAATGATGGTTGGACTGGAAGCTGCAAGGTTACATCAAGGTCACATTTGTATAAAGTGTAGCAAGACTCAATGTCAATGTGTGGACTTGACCCAATGTATTCTCTCCCAACAATTAAGTCATCGTTTGGGAAGATGGATTGGGTGGGTTGGGTTTAAAATATCCACAAAAAAAATGAAATAGGTTTTTTAACTCCAAATTAAAAAATGACCCATTCAAATTATAATTATTTTATTTTTTTCTCTCACAAAAGTTTAAAAAGTCAAAAAACTCGTAACAAGACTTTTTAACCCCACGCTAAAATAGTTAAAAGCCAACCCATATCCCAAACAAATAATAGGTTGGCTATTCGCCACATAACTATTGGAGGATTGAAGATTTATCCGCACAAATATAGTTGCCAATTGTTTGCCAAATACCTGTGTTAGATATCCAATCTGGGCATAAGCTTTTGATTCATACTTTCTCATATACTAAAACTATTATAATAGCAGTACTGTGCACTGGTTAAAATAAATAATTAAAAATTATTTTTTTAATTAAATTATAACAAAAATTTCATTTATAATATAAAATAATATTTATTTAACGTTAATTAGTTCCCATATAATAATCATATTTACGATAAAATATAAATATATTTCATCTTAATAATTTTGTAATTTTAGTTTTTCAATTTACCAATTATCTCATATCGATTATGTAAAATCAATTATCTTATCAATAAATCAAAATTAAAGAATAAATAAAAAATAAAAATAAAGTATCAGTGACCCCAATCTTCAACCCACTCCTCAAACAAGATTGCGATGATTTTGATACTGCTAGACTGCTAGGTATAACCTCTAAAACAGTCTCATTGATTTTTTTTATATTTTTTAATTGTTTTATATTAAAAAAAATAGAACTAATATACTAAACAAATAAATTAACCTAAATATGTATATAAAACAATTTAACTCTAACCCATAGGCCTAAGTTTTTTTATTGTGTATTTGATTGAAAATGTGTTAGACCATTTTAATGGCTAATACCTAAATCTCAATATTTATTCAATAGGTAAGTTGAGACAAAATGATTACTTGGCTTATAGTTAGCATGGTTCAAATAAAAGGTAATGCATATACTATATGTGAATTTATAATTTTTTTTTTCTTATTTGTTAATAAATTTATGCATGATCCACATTTCAAATAAGAATTTTATAAGTTTTTAAGAGCTAATCACAAACTTTAAAAAAAAAAAAAATAGACTTGATTCATTATAAATATGTATGAAATAACTTTATTAATAAACCATTTTTATTAAAAAATTCTATACTTAATCAAATAGTTCTTCTAGAATTTGAAAATTTAATATTTATGAATAAATTTAATATTTTCAAATACTCCAAGCATTTTTCACATTCAAAATTTATGAATAAATTTAGGGAAAATTACAAACAACCCCTCGAGGTTTGGTAAAAATACAGATTTTTTCTTGAGGTTTGAGAAATTACAAATTGCCCCCTAAAGGTCAAATTTGCATAACAAATTGCCCCATGAGATTTTTATTTTCATACAGATTCCCCCCTAATTTGTTATGCAAATTTGACCTTCAGGGGGTAATTTGTAATTTCTCAAACCTCAGGGAGAAATCTGTATTTTCACCAAATCTCGAGGGGGGTGTTTGTAATTTGCCCATAAATTTATTTGGATAATAGGAAAAATTTTATACTTTATTAAAACTTTTAGCATTACAAAATCAATAAATAAGTTTTATCAAATATGCTTTAAATCTAATCATCAACCTATTTTTTAAACAAAATTTTCTCATTCAAAATTTTGGCAAATATTTATTTAGGAAAACTATCCACATGTTAGTGCACCATGCTCACAGTCATTATTAAACTTATGTAACTTAGGCCCTAATCTAAATGCACCTTGTATTTTTAAATTTTGTTTAATGTTTGGCATGACCCATAAAATGGTTATAAATTATAAGTAAAATTTTAAATTATTAACTTAAAATAAGTTGTAAATTTATTTGGTGCAATGTAACTTTTGATAATCTATATAACATTTTTATTGTGTAAACATACATAATGCCTCAAAAGTTACTACTAAGACGAAAGATATGAGACTCTTATATTCATATGTATTTAAGGATTTCAAATAAGTTTAAAAAAAAAAAAAAAAAGTTACAAATTGTAGTTTAAAAAACCTTTATTTTTTAGCCAAATAAGCTATAAATATATCGAATAAATTATAATTTAAAATTACAACCAAATAAACTTAGTCACACAATAAAATATAATATAATATAATATAAAAATATAATAAGTATAACATTATTTAAGAAAAAGTACACCAACTGAAAATTATATATAATAAGTATAACATTATTTAAGAAAAAGTACACCAACTGAAAATTATATATAATAAGTATAACATTATTTAAGAAAAAGTGCAACAACCGAAAATTATAATAAGTATAACATTATATATAAAATCTGAAAATTAAAAGTAAACCTTATAAAAATTTTGAAATATGAAATCACGGGAATTACAAAACATAAATGCATAAGTAATATTATAATCATATGCATCATCTAAAAGAAGAAGAAACTTACAATGAAAATTTGTTAATAAATATGCACATTTTCCCAATAGCTTTTGTCATCCATATTTATGTACTTGATAAATATAGATTTTAAACCGTTGAACCTTGACTGAAGAGATTGGAGATTTATTTTATAAAATACACTTAGATTAAATAAGCATGCAATAAATTTTTAGAAATTAACATAATTGTTAGATGCATAATAGAAATAAGGATGTGGGAGGCTAAAGATTAGAAATTGATCTTTATTAAAAAGCATAAACTTACAATGAAAAAATTTATCAATTCATGAATTCTTCACAATTGCTCCATCACTAACAGTTACAACACTTGATGAACACTGACTCTAATTAATTTGACTCAAATCCAATAAGTGCAAGAGAAAAGATTTATGAGAGTTGTGAATTGCTTCTCATTATTTGTGATACACAATATTAAAATTTTAAAATTTATCTAGTCTTCTTTCTTTTTAAAAGTCATAAATTATGAGAAAATTAGATTTTTTTTAAATAGTTATATGGCACACTTTTGAATTTTGAAATGTGTTAGAATACTTTCCTTTTAAATTTCATAAATCATTAGATAGTTATATTTTTATTGTTGAGAAAGTGCTACCCAATAGATTTTTTTAATAATAAATAAAAATTAATCAAAAAACTTAGTATGTGAGTTTGGAAATAAATTTTAAAAAAAATGTAATTTTAAAAGCTTACTATATTAAATTTTGAATGGAGCATTATTATAAATTTTGAAAAAGATTTCTATATTAGTTATAACATAGATAACGCGACAATTTGAAAGGTTTTTATAAATTTTAGATTTTGTTAAATTGTTTATCATATTTAATGACAAATAATTTTAAATTTTGAAATAGAAATATATATATATATATTTAAAAATCAAAAATTATGGAATAATTAAAGTTTTTTTTTTTTAATGATTATATTTAGATTTTAGTGAATTGCTTCTATATTAGTAACCCACAAATTTAAATTTTAAAATAATTGAGCATACTTTCCTTTTAAAAACCATAATTTATAGAATAATTAGAGTTTAATTGTTATGGTTAAATTAGAGTTAACCAATAGACTTTTTTTAAAATAAAAAATAATTAAATTGTAATGAATTGTTTCTATATATAGTAACACACAAATTTAAATTTTGAAACAGTTGATGAGCATATTTTTCTTTTAAAAATCGTAATTTATGAAATAATTAAAATTTTATTATTATGATTAAATAAGAGTTTAACCGAAAAAATATTTTTTATTATTTAGAAATCAACAAAATTATAAAATTTAATTTGAGGGTTTAGAGCTCCCACCTTGTCATTAGAAAGATCACTTTCCATATATATATATATATATATATAGATGGTGCGCACAATTATGTTTTCCAGGAAAGATCAATATTCAGGAAAGCAACTTCCATGGCACAATCCCTCAAGAAATTGGTAGATTGTTTCGCCTGCAATATCTTCGTCTGGCAAATAACTCTTTCCAGGGAAAAATTCCGATCAATCTGACTCATTGCTCACATATCCGAGTCATTGATTTGAAGGAAACAACCTTGAAGGGAGTATTCCTCCTCAATTGAGTATTTTATCTAAACTCAATCAACTGAGTCTTTCCAGAAATCATTTCTCTGGAAACAGTCCACCTTCACTTGGGAACCTCTCCGCCCTTCAGACACTCGACCTGCTGAGAGACAATCTTCATGGCAGCATTCCAAGTGAGCTTGGACAACTCTCAAATTTACAATACTTCCAGTTATCTTTGAATACACTATCTGGTATGGCTCCTGCCCAGCTTTGCAACATCTCCTCCGTCCAAGTTTTCGATGTAAGAAACAACTCCTTGGGTGGAAGTTTTCCATCCAATTTAGGCCTGAACCTTCCGAAACTACAATCGCTCTTAACTAGTGTAAATAAATTCTTTGGGTTCATTCCAGCATCACTAGCCAATGCTTCAGGCCTTGTCAAAATAAGTATCGGAGACAATGCTTTGACCGGGCCAATACTTGAAAGGAAACAACCTTGAAGGTAACATTCCTCCTGAGTTAGGCACTTTGTCTAATCTCTATCAACTGAGTCTTTCCAGAAATCATTTCTCTGGAAACATTCCACCTTCACTTGGAAACCTCTCTGCTCTTCAAATTCTTGACCTTGCACACAACAACCTTCACAGAACCATTCCTATCGAGCTTGGACACCTCTCAAATTTATATGCATTCCAATTGTCTTCGAATAATCTCTCTGGTATGGTTCCTGATCAGCTCTACAGCATCTCCACCATCCAAATTTTCTCGGTCACAAACAACTCATTGAGTGGAAATTTTCCATCCAATTTAGGCCTCACCCTTCCGAAACTCCAATTGTTCTTAGCTGATAAAAATCAATTCTTTGGGTCCATTCCAGCATCACTAGCCAATGCTTCAGGCCTTGCCGAAATAAGTATTGGAGACAATGCTTTGATCGGGCCAATACCGTTGAATTTAGGAAGCCTTCAATATCTGCAAGTTTTACATATTGCCGGTAACCCACTTGGAACTGATAAGGCCAATGATATCAGCTTCCTAACCACCTTGATTAATTGTACCAATCTAAGAGTACTGAGTTTATCTAATATTCAGATTGGTGGAAATTTACCCAATTCGATCGGAAATCTCTCCAGCACCCTCACATGGGTATGGTTGGATGAGAACTACATATCTGGAAACATACCTCAAGAGATTACAGAGCTTGTTGGCTTATCTTACATCACTATAGATACAAACATGCTCACAGGTAGCATTCCAGATTCAGTTGGCAAACTTACCAATTTACAAAAATTCTACCTTTTCATAAATAACATCTCCGGGGAAATTCTATACTCTATTGGCAACATCACTGGATTAGTTTCTCTTATTTTAGAAGAAAATATGCTTGAGGGAAGCATACCTGTTTCTTTGGGTTATTGCAGTAACTTGGAAGGACTCCATCTTGCACGAAATCGCCTCACTGGTGGCATACCTGGAGAAGTCATTGGTCTTTCTTCCCTCTTTCTCGGTTTCATCGTACGTGAGAACTATTTAACAGGACCATTGCCATTAGAAGTGGGTAAGTCAGACAAGCTCACAGTATTGGATATTTCAGAAAACAAATTGTCTGGTGAAATCCCAAGTACTCTTGGGAACTGTTTGATGTTAGACTCCCTGGAAATGGAAGGCAACTTTTTTGAGGGAACCATTCCATCAGAGCTAAAAAAACTTAAAAGCCATTGCATACATGGACTTTTCTGGCAACAATCTGTCTGGAAAGATTCCATTGTTTCTGGGGCAGTTGAACTTACTTGGCAATCTCAATCTTTCCTTCAACAAGTTTGAGGGTGAAGTGCCAAACGAAGGAGTTTTCAAAAACATCAGTTTATTTTCAGTTATAGGGAACATAAATCTATGTGGAGGGGTCAAGCAATTGCAAGTGCCTGCATGTCCCACAGAAAGGAAAAATCCTTCTACACATGCAGTAAGATTGGTTGCAACCAGCATTGGGATTTCTATCATTTAATTAGGAGTATGTGTTTGTGCTGTTATTTATCGATTTAGAAATTCCAAACAACAACCCTCTTCATCCTCAACCGAGAAGAACCAATATCCACAACTTTCTTATGCAGAACTACATCAATCTACCAATGGATTTTCTTCAGACAACTTGATTGGAAAGGGAAGATATGGTTCTGTTTATAAGGGGATCCTCAATTCTGATGAGCAAACTGTTGCTGTGAAAGTACTCAACCTTCAAGAAAGTGGAGCATACAAGAGCTTTTTGGCAGAATGTGAAGCATTAGGAAACCTTCGTCATCGGAATCTGGTCAAGGTCATCACCTCTTGCTCAAGTGTAGATTTTAAAGGCAATGATTTCAAAGCTTTAGTCTTTGAGTTCATGCAAAATGGGAGTTTAGAAAGTTGGTTATATCCAAGTTCACTTGAGCAGAATGACACAGAGAACTTGAACCTAACCCAAAGGCTAAACATGGCAATCGACGTGGCCTTGGCATTGGAATATCTTCATCATCATTATGATATACCAATCGCTCATTGTGATTTGAAGCTGAGCAATGTTCTTCTTGACAACAATCTCTCTGCCCGTGTAGGTGATTTTGGCCTAGCAAAATTTCTTTAGCTACCACAGGAGACTCCAACTATGCACAAAGCAGTTCAATTGGGATTAGAGGAACAGTTGGGTACATTGCTCCAGGTAATCGAAATCCACTTAAATATTCATACATCTAATTTTCTTGCCTGATAGTGTTGGATAAATTTATTGTTATTATGATATAATTTTTTGTTGCCTTCCTAGGCCCCGTCTTAGCAGAAGTCTCTTTCATAGGGTCACCCTTTTTATTATATCAAATTATCTTCTAACAATAAGTTAGTGTCATGTGAATCTAGGATGATGTTGAAGATATACCACCACTATTTAGTCATGTCATGTCCATGAGTGCTTCAAACTAATCCCTAAAAGATCATAAGTTTGGAAATATTGAAAAGGCTTACAAGTTCATTCTTTTCTTTTTCTTTGCCTTTCCCCCAATTCAATGCAGAATACGGTATGGGTGGAGACATATCTACACAAGGTGATTTGTACAGCTATGGAATCCTCTTACTGGAATTGTTTACAGGAAAAAGACCAACCAACAACATGTTTAGAAACAATTTCAACCTCCAACCTCCATAGCTATGCTAAGATGGCTCTCCTGCGTCGAGTGATGGAAATTGTTGATCCACAAATCATAATGGAAGAGAAAGACGCATCTAGTAGGATCAGCCAAAATACTGAAGGCAATGTAACCCAGGAATGCTTGGCATCAATACTTCAAATTGGAGTTGCTTGTTCCGCTGAAGGCCCAAAAGAGCGGATGGATATTAAAGATGTTCTCAAGGAACTACAACGGATTAGAAATGTAATTGTCCAAGTTTAAAGAGAGGGCGAGGAAAGGAAGAAGAGACAAATATAAAGAATAATTCTTAGTTGAAGACACATCTATCTATGTCATGTTTATTTGAAATAGTATGGCACTATGGATGTATTTATAAATATGATTTGCTATATAAGCTTTGTTAATCGCATGTATTCCATTCCTCTGTTTTTGGTGTTCAACTCCTGAAAGCTATGTTGCATGAACTCATATGGGGTGTTAAGTTTTATCTAATTCTCATGTTCAAGGACACTTGGACATTATTAAATTTCATATTTCTTAAAGTGCTTCTTTTATAGGATAAAATAGTGTTTATAAACTAACATAAAGCATTGCATGCATGAAATGAGAGTTTTATTAAAATCGTATACTCAACTACTTAGGCATACCAAATGAGTGTATGCCAAACACATCTTATACCATTACTCAGGTGTCCAACACGAGTAAGTACTTTACAAAATTTTGAAGTGTCCATATAATATATATTGAAAGCATGCAAAATGAGATCTAGCACATACCCCATCAGAATAGTAAACGAACTTATCTTGTGAGAGAGATTTCTATAGTTGTGCCTCCATTTAGAAGTCCTAGAGAAGAATTTATCAATTAAACAGCCTTCTGGGAATTTTGTCTGAGGCCAAGCTTAGGCCTGAAAAATGGGCTGAAACTTGAAGTACACAAGTACCAATGGCTGAATCAGAAGAAGAGAAGGAAAAACAATTGGGGGAAAGAAGAATTTAAGACCAGCCAAAATGCTTGTAGTGAACTATTCAAGAGTGCAAACAACATACCTTGTGCAAGCAAATTACCAATTTGATATGTGATGGAGTGCAAGGGGATGGTAGGAAAGGAAGATTAGCAATTTAAGGTTAACATCAAATGAAAAGATAAAAAGATGCAAAAAGGGGAAGGAAAAAAAAAATTTCTTGGGAATCCACTTCAATTCTTGACCTTGGTTTTCTTAGCAAGCAAATAGAGGATGGTGGCTAAAGCTGCCAGATGTGATGGCCAATGATGGTTTACAACAGTAAGTGGTGGTCAAAGGTGATTTTCAACAAGAGGTGGTAGGTGCCCACCAGTAGGATGTGGTTGTTGTAGGAAGTCGCATGCAATAGTGGCTGAAGGTGGGCGTGGCTGGTGGGGGTGATGAGTGGTGGGTTGTGACCAAAAAGGGTGCAAGGAAGAAGAAATGAAAATATTTTTTCTTAAAAGTGAAATCTACTTTTTTATTACAAAAATTTAGTAAATTGTTTACAAGTTTTTCAAAACAAAAATGGATATCAAATTAATTTTTGTTTATAATTTTTAAAATTTTGTAAATATTAGTAAAAAAATGCAAATCTAAACATTACCTAACATGGTGTAATTGTTAATTGTTTCAACTTGCAGTTGTAAAGTATGCTATAGGTGGGGGAAGTGTCAATAAAATGTGATGTGTATAATTATGAGATTCTTTCACTAGTGATGTTTATGAAGAAAACACCAACAAACAAAGATTAGTGGAAGCATTAGAGACAATGTTGGTAGAATAGTGGAGGCTTTGGAGTCTATCCTTCAAATTGGAGTTACATGTTCTGCTGATTTATTTATTTCATGTTCATGTTGTTATAAGAGGAGGTTTTTAAAATTGTTTTGAGAACAAGGAAGATGAAGAACTACTATAAATTCAGAAATGATGTACATATGATCATAGTTAGTGCCATTCTATTCCTCTATGTGTCCACAAGAAATGACAAGAGCAAGCGTATAGGATATATGTCCGACGCTTGTACCTAAACTAGGCACTTGAATCCTCTAATTTTTTTACAATGGTCGAAAACAAAAAGGAAAAAAAAAAATCACCTTTGCTACATTTCAAATGACTTTTTATCGTCTAACATGGATAAGAGAGAGAAATCCCATATAATTTCAATTATATTACTATCAGTTTACTACATTTTATATCAAAATATCATACATCATGCAAAATGTTTAAATATTTTAGACGTGTCTGCATATCAATACACAACTTTTAAATACATATTTCGACACTCAAATTTTAGAAAGATAATAGGTTTAGACATACCAGCACTCGATACTCATATCCAAATTCATGTAACATATATTATAATATATGAAGGTAAAGTGGTGAAAGATAAATTCAATTAAGAAATGTTATCAAAGTAAAATAATTATTCAATCAGAAAAGAAAAACAATGATAAAGTAATACAAGTTAGGCCAGTAACAATGAATACTTATGCACGACGTTTTAAGGTCCATATATGTAGGCTAAATTCTAGAAAGGAACCATTCGATAAGACTATATTTGGGTTATGAATTTGGGTGTAGCAGCCTAATGAGTATTTTAAAATCAGTTTAATAGCAGTTAGGACTTTGATAAAAAGTCCAAGATCAACAACATATTTATATATATTATTTTTATTCTTTATATATGGGTGTAGCGGCTGCCCTATTATTTGGTTTTTCAAAAGGTGAGCAGCCATGGTTGTCATTATTGTTGGCGAGATTAATGCTTGCTGATTCGGTAGGTTTGCTTGGTGGATAGCAGCGGCTATTTGATCAATTTCAGTGGGTTGATTGTGCTTTGTTTGTGGCTGTTGTTGCCTCTGAGTTGAAGTTGATTTGGACATATTATTTTGGATCTTCTATAATTTTATTTCGAAGACTTTGGTGGGATCTTTCCTCTTGATTATTTGTGATTATTTAAAATTCACCTAAGAGTGTGTCTCATTTGTAATTATTTAGAAACTCTTTGATTGATGATGAAATTAGATTTCGATCCTGTGAGCGAATCACACATTAAGAAAATCACGTAAAAATTCTTGTGTCGTTATTGATTTAATTTTTCTACATTAATTTTTATTTCCATTAATTAATTTACTTATGAAAAAACATCTATTTTTCTAACATCTCATTCACATCAAATAATTTAGGTGGAATCTGTAGGGTGCACCTTTTTTATGAGGATGTGATGTGTTTTAAGTTACGATGTGCTGTATTGACTATATGATCCAATCATATTGTGCCATGATACCGTAACTCAACCAGAGTTTTGCACACACATTGACCCAATATCATATAAAATCACACGATTAGAATCATTACTCTCATGTCTAAAGCTGCACACAATTATGTTTTCCAGGAAAGTAAGCTTCACTTTCCTTCTCTCTTATCTTCTCTTTTACATTCACTCCATTGGTTTTTAAGCCAAACCAACTTCTGGTTTCACAAATGAAACCGACCACGAAGCTCTGATCGCCATTAAAGATCTAGTAACATCCGGCCCTTCGCAATTTCTTAGTTCGTGGACCGATTCTATTGATTTTTGCAACTGGCACGGAGTTACATGTGGGAGTCGACACCAACGAGTAACCGTCCTAAACATGTCGTCACTTCACTTGTCTGGTTCCCTGTCTCCTCACATAGGTAACCTTACATTCCTTGAAGATATCAACATTCAAAATAACAACTTGCGAGGCACAATCCCTCTAGAAATTGGCAGGTTGTTTCGCCTGCAATATCTTCTTTTCGCAAACAACTCTTTCATGGGGTGTTAAGTTTTATCTAATTCTCATGTTCAAGGACACTAGGACATTATTAAATTTCATATTTCTGAAGTACTTCTTTTATAGGATAAAATAGTGTTTATAAACTAACATAAAGCGTTGCATGCATGAAATGGGAGTTTTATTAAAATCGTAAACTCAACTACTTAGGCATACCAAATGAGTGTATGCCAAACACATCTTATACCATTACTCAACTGTCCAATTATATTGAAAGCTTACAAAATGACATCTAGCACATACCTCATCAGAATAGTAAACAAACTTATGTTGTGAGACAGATTTCTATAATTGTGCCTCCATTTAGAAGCCCTAGAGAAGAATTTGTCAATTAAATAGCCTTTTCTGGGAATTGTGTCTGAGCCCAAGCCTAGGCCTGAAAAATGGGTTGAAACTTGAAATACACAAGTACCAATGGCTCAATCAAAAGAAGAGAAGGAAAAAAAAAATTGGGGGAGGGAAGAATTTTAGACCAGCCTAAATGCTTGTAGTGAACTAGTCAAGAGTGCAAACAAAATACCTTGTACAAGCAAATTACCAATTTGATATGTGATGGAGTGCAAGGGGATGGTAGGAAAGGAAGATTAGCAATTTAAGGTTTACATCAAATGAAAAGATAAAAAGATGCAAAAAGGGGAAGAAAACAAAAACAAAAATTCTTGGGAATCCACTTCAATTCTTGACCTTGGTTTTCTTAGCAAGCAAATAGAGGATGGTGACTAAAGCTGCCAGATGTGATGGCCGATGGTGGTTTACAACGGTAAGTGGTGGTCAAAGGTAATTTTTAGCAAGATGTGGTAGGTGCCCACCGGTAGGATGTGGTTGTTGTAGGAAATCGCATGCAATGGTGGCTGAAGGTGGTGGTGGCCGGTGGTGCATTGTGGCCAAAAAGGGTGCGAGGAGGAAGAAATGAAAATATGTTTTCTTAAAAGTGAAATCAACTTTTTTATTACAAAAATTTAGTAAATTGTTTACAATTCAAAACGAAAATGGATATCAAATTAGTTTTTGTTTATAATTTTTAAAATTTTGTAAATATTAGTAAAAAAAAATGTAAATCTAAACATTACCTAACATGCCGTAATTGTTAATTGTTTCAACTTGCAGTTGTAAAGTATGCTATAGGTGGGGGAAGTGTCAATAAAATGTGATGTGTACAATTATGAGATTCTTTCACTAGTGATGTTTATGAAGAAAGCACCAACAAACAAAGATTAGTGGAAGCATTAGAGACAATGTTGGTAGAATAGTGGAGGCTTTGTAGTCTATTCTTCAAATTGGAGTAACATGTTCTGCTGATTTATTTATTTCATGTTCATGTTGTTATAAGAGGAGGTTTTTAAAATTGTTTTGAGAACAAGGAAGATGAAGAACTACTATAAATTCAGAAATGATGTACATATGATCATAGTTAGTGCTATTCTATTCCTCTATGTGTCCATAAGAAATGACAAGAGCAAGATATAGGATATATGTTCGACACTCGTACCTAAACTCGGCACTTGATTCCCCTAATTTTTTTACAATGGTCTAAAACAAAAAGGAAAATAAAATAAATAAAAACATTTGCTAGTAAAAATGACTTTCTATCCTCTAACATGGATAAGAAAGAGAAATCCCATATAATTTCAATTATATTACTATTAATTTACTACATTTTATATCAAAATATCATACATCACTCAAAATGTTTAAATATTTTAGACATACCTGCATATCAATACACAACTTTTAAATACATATTTTAACACTCAAATTTTAGAAAGATAATAGATTTAGACATACCAGCACTCGATACTCATTTTCCAAATTCATGTAACATATATTGGCCCTGTTTGGTAAGGTTTAATTCCAGCTTATTTTAGCTTTTAACTTAATTTAAGCTATTTTGATGTATTTGGTTCAGCTTGACAATACAGCTTATAGTTTTTGTAAGTAAAAAATCAACTTATTCTTTGAGTGGGGGAGGATAAACTTAATTTATAAGTAAAAAATCAGCTTATGTTCACAGTTATAAACTATAAGCTGTTAAGGTATAAGCTATAATCACTTTCCCACAGGTCTACCAAACGGGGCCATTATAATATATGAAGGTAAAGTGGTGAAGATAAATTCAATTAAGAAATGTTATCAAAGTAAAATAATTATTCAATCAGAAAAGAAAAACAATGATAAAGTAATACAAGTCAGGCCAGTAAAAATGAATACTTATGCATGACGTTTTAAGGCCCATATATGTAGGCTAAATTCTAGAAAGGAACCATTCCATAAGGCTATATTTGGGTTATGAATTTGGGTAGAGATTCCGGAAGCGAAATGAAAAAGATGAGTAGAAAGTGAGTAAAGTTTTTCTCCATTTTTCTTTCTCATCTATTTGATCAATTTCAGTGGGTTGATTGTGCTTTGTTTGTGGCTATTGTTACCTTTGATTTGAAGCTGATTTGAACATATTATTTTGGGTCTTTTATAATTTTATTTGAAGACTTTCGTTCGTCTATTTGGTGAGATATTTCCTCTTAATTATTTATGATTATTTAGAATTTACCTAAGTGTGGTCTTGTGACGTTTGTAATCGTTTAGAAACTCTTTGATTGATAGTGAAATAGGATTTCGATCATGTGGACGTACCTCACATTGAGGAAACACGTAAAAATTCTTGTGTCGTTACTAATTTAATTTTTTCACATTACTTTTTATTCCCATTAAGTAATTTACTTGTAAAAAATAATCTATTTTCCCTAACATCTCATTCACTTCAAATAACTTAAGTCAAATCTGTGGGATGCACCTTTTTGATTACGATGTGATGTATTTTAAGTTACAATGTGCTGTATTGACTATATGATCCAATCGTATTGTGCCATGATACCGTAACTCAACCAGAGTTTTGCACACATATTGACCCAATATCATATAAAATCACACAATTAGAATCATTACTCTCATGTCTAATGCTGCACACAATTATGTTTTCCAGGAAAGTAAGTTTCACTTTCCTTCTCGCTTATCTTCTCTTTTACATTCACTCCATTGGTTTTTTATCCAAACCAACTTCTGGTTTCACAAACGAAACCGACCACGAAGCTCTGATCGCCATTAAAGATCTAGTAACATCCGACCCTTCGCAATTTCTTAGTTCGTGGACCGATTCTATTCATTTTTGCAACTGGCACGGAGTTACATGTGGGAGTCGACACCAACGAGTAACCGTCCTAAACATGTCATCACTTCACTTGTCTGGTTCCCTGTCTCCTCACATAGGTAACCTTACATTCCTTGAAGATATCAATATTCAAAATAACAACTTGCGAGGCACAATCCCTCTAGAAATTGGCAGGTTGTTTCGCCTGCAATATCTTCTTTTCGCAAACAACTCTTTCCAAGGGACAATTCCGACCAATCTGACTCATTTTCCACGTATCCGGGTCACTGATTTGAAAGGAAACAACCTTGAAGGTAACATTCCTCCTGAGTTAGGCACTTTGTCTAATCTCTATCAACTGAGTCTTTCCAGAAATCATTTCTCTGGAAACATTCCACCTTCACTTGGAAACCTCTCTGCTCTTCAAATTCTTGACCTTGCAGGGCCAATACCGTTAAATTTAGGAAGCCTTCAATATCTGCAAGTTTTACATATTGCCGGTAACCCACTTGGAACTGATAAGGCCAATGATATCAGCTTCCTAACCACCTTGATTAATTGTACCAATCTAAGAGTACTGAGTTTATCTAGAATTCAGATTGGTGGAAATTTACCCAATTCGATCGGAAATCTGTCCAGCACCCTCACATCGGTATGGTTGGATCAGAACTACATATCTGGAAACATACCTCAAGAGATTACAGAGCTTGTTGGCTTATCTTGCATCACGATAGATACAAACATGCTCACAGGTAGCATTCCCAATTCCATTGGCAAACTTACCAATTTACAAGAATTCTACGTTTTCACAAATAACATTTCCGGGGAAATTCCATACTCTATTGGCAACATCACTGGATTAGCTTCTCTTATTTTAGAAGAAAATATGCTCGAGGGAAGCATACCTGTTTCTTTGGGTAATTGCAGTAACTTGCAAGGACTCCATCTTGCACAAAATCGCCTAACCGGTGGCATACCTGGAGAAGTCATTGGCCTGTCTTCGCTCTATCTCGGTTTCATCGTACGCCAGAACTATTTAACAGGACCATTGCCATCACAAGCTGGCAAGTTGGAGAATTTGGTATCACTGGATATTTCAGAAAACAAATTGTCTGGTGAAATCCCGAGTGCTCTTGGGAACTGTCTGATGTTGAACTCCCTGCATATGGAAGACAACTTTTTTGAAGGAACCATTCCTTCAGAGCTAAAAAACTTGAAAGCCATTCAATTCATGGATTTTTCACACAACAATTTGTCCGGGAATATTCCATTGTTTCTTGGGCAGTTGAATTTACTTGCCGATCTCAATCTTTCCTTCAACAATTTTGAGGGTGACGTGCCAAACGGAGGAGTTTTCAAAAACATCACTTCATTTTCAGTTCTAGGAAATAGAAATCTATGTGGAGGGGTCAAGGAACTACAATTGCCCGCATGTCCCACAGAAAGGGTTAAAAAGCGTTCTACACATACAGTGATATTGGTCGCAATTACCATTGGGGTTTCCATCATTTTCTTGGCAGTATGTGTTTGTGCTGTTCTTTATCGATTAAGAAAGTCCAAACAACCCTCTCTAGTGTCAACAGAAGAAAACCAATATCCGAAACTTTCTTATGCAGAACTACATCAATCTACCAATGGATTCTCTTTAGATAACTTGATTGGAAAGGGAAGATATGGTTCTGTTTATAAGGGGATTCTCAATTCCGGTGAGCAAACTGTTGCTGTGAAAGTCCTTAACCTTCAAGAAAGTGGAGCAGACAAGAGCTTCTTGGCAGAATGTAAAGCATTAAGGAGCCTCCATCATCAGAACCTAGTAAAGGTCATCACCTCATGCTCAAGCTTAGATTTTAAAGGCATTTCAAAGCTTTAGTCTTTGAGTTCATGTCAAATGGAAGTTTAGAGAGCTGGTTATATCCAAGTTCAACTGAGCAGAATGACACAAAAAAGTTGAACCTAACCCAAAGGCTAAACATAGCAATCGATGTAGCCTCTGCACTGGAATATCTTCATCATCATTATGATATACCAATCGCTCATTGTGATTTAAAGCCGAGCAATGTTCTTCTTGACAACAATCTCTGTGCCCGTGTGGGTGATTTTGGCCTAGCAAGATTTCTTTTAGCTACCACAGGAGACACCAACTATGCACAAAGCAGTTCAATTGGGATTAGAGGAACAGTTGGATACGTCGCTCCAGGTAATTAAGATCTACTTAAATATTCATACATGTAATTTTCTTTCCCAATAGTGTTTGATGAACTTGCTGTTCTTATTATGTTAAATTTTCTTGCCCTCTCAAATCCCATTTTAGCAAGAGTCTCGTTCACCAGTTTGTCCTTCTCATTATTTCAATTTCTCTTCTGACAATAAGTTAGTATCATGTGAATCTAAAGCCTCATAGAAATGATGTTAGAGATATAACATCACTATTTAGTCATGTCATTTCCATGTGTACTTCAAATTAGTCCCTAAAAGACCGTAAGTTTGGATTTGTCGAAGATTTTTACAAGTTCATGCTCTTCTTTTTCTTTGGCTTTTCTATCTTTTTCTTTTTCTTAAAATGCAGAATACGGTGTGGGTGGAGACATATCAACACAAGGTGATTTGTACAGTTATGGAATCCTCTTATTGGAAATGTTTACAGGAAAAAGACCAACCAACGACATGTTTACAGATAATTTCAACCTCCATAGCTATGCTAAGATGGTTCTCCCACATCGAGTGATGGAAATTGTTGATCCACAAATCATAATGGAAGAGGAACACGGGTCTAATAAGACCGGCCAAAGTTCTGAAGGCAAAGTAATAGAGGAATGCTTAGCATCGATATTTCAAATTGGAGTTTCTTGTTCTGCTGAAGGCCCAAGAGAACGAATGGATATTAAAGATGTTCTCGTGGAACTACATAGGATTAGAAATGTACGAGTTCATGTTCAAAGACCGGGTGAAGAGGCAGATATAGCGACTACATCTTATTTGAAGACACTTATGTAGATTATGTTTATTTGATATAGTATGGAACTATGGATGTATTTGTTTTTTTTTTTTTTAAGAGGGAAAACTATGGATGTATTTAAAAGACTGATTTACTACATAAGCTTGTATTGGGTTCATCTAATTCTCATATACAAAGACACTAAGACATGGTTAGATTTCACATTTCTTAAATACTTCGGTCTTTCTTATGATAAAATGAGAGTTTTATGGATAGTTAAACTCAGCTACTGGGGCATACTAAAGCCAATGTCTAAGGCAAAGATCAAGAACAAATTAATCCAATTAAGTCACAGAGCAGAATAAAAATCTTGGCAACCCACTTCCAATTCTTGAAATTGGATTTCTTAGCCACCAAACAGAGGACAGAAAATTAACAAGTTGGAAGGGATCTGTTTGGTAGCAGAGAGCAATGCCAGAAAAGGAAGTGAAACTAACAAGTAAAAAGTTAAACAAATTATCTCAAAGCAACAATTCCTAGCTCTAAGTATTATTTCTTTCACATCTCGGTTTTATGAGCAACCCCCACAAAAAAATAATAATAATTTCTGAGGAAAGAAAAGAAACCGAATCAATTGAGGCCGTTCAATTTTAACATTAGTTAGGAATAAATTTCTACCAAAATAATAATAATAATAAATAAATGAGAAAATCTTTTTGTGTACCACAATATACCTATGTCCATGTTTATAAATGTGAATAAATAAATGAGAATTTCCCAAGATATATATATATACACACACAAGTATGTACAGAGAGTGTACTTGTGCTCTGCTGTGAGTCCATTTCAAGGTGCTCTTCCAAATCTTTAAAAATTAAGTTCATCCAATAATCGTAAAAATTTTTCTTTTATCATGTTGGTTTTCAAAAAGATAAAAGACAAGTTTTTTTTTAAAAGTGATCATCAATTATTTTGACATAAACACAATAAAATAAAAACGATATCATTCTCAACAAAAAAAAATTTAATGATATATTATTATAAAATAAATAATTCAGATCCTCGAGTTTTCTCAAATTCATTTTTAAAATCAAGGTATACAATATACACATTATTATGTATTTTGTAAAAACATATGACATAATTATTATAATTTGTGATTTATTATATATGTTTTTTTAAAAAAAAAAAATTAAAGTTACGCATTTTTATAATAATTTTTTTATCAAAATATTTTTATTTCAAAAAAAAAAAGGCCAAAATTAAGACAAATTTGTTGGAATTTTGAAGAAGCATGACAGGAGCCCTATACTTGATTTTCCTGTGCATCATCACTGTCTCTTCCTCAATTAGGCGGTTCGCGCTCTCTTTACGGCGCCAAATTCAAGAGATTCTGTTTTTCCTGTTTGCTTCGGATTCAAGGTAAAATATGTATCTATATACAATTTTGTCTATATATATATTAGAGCTCTTAACCTGAACTGAGCCGGAAACCTTTGAAGACTTTTGGCTATCTTAGGAATACTAGAAATTCCTTTTTGTTATTTTGTAAGACTCATATGAAGTTTAAAACTTTCTTTTTGGGATGTAATGTAATGGAACGAACTTTTGTAATAAAGGATATTCGTGGCTATATGTTCTATATATTTATATCGTTGCTTATGAGACCTTGTGTCAATACCTTTTAAGATCTGTCAAAAAGGGTAGTGCGCTACCTAAGAAAGCTGGACTTAGAAGGGAGGCTATTTTGACTCCTCCGGCGATCTGGGATCTTACTTGGCTATTGACCATAGGACTCATTAGTGACTCTCCCTTGTCTGCAACCAATAGCGTAGAATCGGGGCGTCACAGCCGAGCTCTGTCTCTATCGTACTCGACTGCACTCCGGCAAAGTCGAGCTCCGGAAAGGTCACGCCGATCAACCAAAGGCTTTCCTGCCGAGCTTCTGGCACGAGCTTCCCTGCCGAGCCAAAGGCGTGTATGCCTTCTGGCCGAGTAACGCAAGTTGCATGGTCACCACCGGTGCGAGTAGTTCGGCCACGGGCCGAGCGGCCCCAACTCCGGGCAAGTCCTAAGCTATCTCAGCCCAACACGCCCTTGGGCCTTCAACTTGCTCGGCTTTTATCTCGGCCCACTTTCGGCTCATAAATCTCCCTCTCATAATGCAAGTGCTTTTTTGATGAGTTTATGATGCTTGCTTAATGTGGATGTTCACATCTTATGAATATGAGGTTATGGATGGTTGTATGCATGTTGTGTAATGTGCGCTCATTCTAGTGGTGTGATTTTGAACTTGTAAAATGTTTTATGTTGTGTAAGGATGGTGGTAGTAGTTTTCATTATTGATTTAGCAATGGAACTGTACACATAGGTATTTAGTTTGCATAATGTGAATGTTTATATAGTATGGATTATGGTATGTATTGTTGTTTGTATGGTTGTTACGTGGTTGTTAACTTTTGTTTTGTTGTGTGTTTACAGGAGATGGATACCTTTATGATGTTGGTATGCACATATGGTTGCAGTGCAACTATAATAAATGTGGTTTGGGCATTGTGTTATTCGCGTTTGGTGGAGTGTTTGTGTGAAAAATAGGGCAAGTTGTCTGCTTGTTCTGTTTCATTGTCTGTCGACTACCTGGGATTAATAGGTGTGGTTTAGACAATGATGAAGAATTTCAAAACATATTATTTCTTGCCAAATCAATGGGGTTACACCATGTAAAGGTTGTCGTTGATTTGAAAAATGATAATGGTCAGTCGAGTAGCTCTGGGTTGCTGCGTGTGGGGGGTGAGAAAGAAATTGATGCACTCCGGAGATTTTGCCACCAAAAGAAGAAGGTGTTGTTGTCAGCCCCTTGGGCAAATGGTATTACGCATGTGGGACAACGGTTTGTTGGAGGTGCACAAAAATTTCGTGATATTTTATGTAAGTATGTAATCAAATGTGGGTTTTAGTTTACGTATGTCAAAGACGAGACAACAAGGGTTACTGCGGTGTGTGCGATGCGCGAAGAAAGAGGTTGTTTATGGGCTATACATTGTAGAGCACAACGAGCAAATAGTTTTTTCTACATCAAGAGATTTAGTGATGTGCATAGTTGTGGTACAGATGTCCGAACATCGAAGAATCCGAGATTTAGTTCTGATTTGGTGTCGAGTACTATATCTGAAATTGTGAGGGACAAGCCATTGACTCGGTTGTGTGAGGTGATGACTATTTTGAAGAGGGATTATGGGTTGGAGGTGAGTTACTACGTGGTACGGTTGAGCGTGGAGAAAGCAAATGCTGTTATTCATGAAGATCACTCATTATCGTTTGACCAGTTGCGGTGGTATTCGGATGCTGTGATGCGTTACAATCTAGGGAGTTATGTTAATATTGACTATGACGGGAGTAATCAACAGTTTTGTCGTTTCTTTGTATCATTCATTACGTGTATTTCTGAGTACAATTCTTGTCGGCCTTTGTTATTCCTGGATGGAACGTTCCTCAAAGGAAAGTACAAGGGTCACCTATTTGCAGCAACGACGAAAGATGGAAACAATGGTTAGTAATTTTTTGGTTGTGTATCCATGTAAATATTCACATTAAGGGGCATAGTGTGGATATATGACTGATCATTACACAATGTGAACATTCACATACCCTATTTGTTTTATAGTGTTTTTGTAAACTACTTGTGCAAATATTCACATTGGAATATTATGATCAGCTGTTTAGTGGTGTTATGTTGTAGGTCTATTCCATGTTGCATTTGCGATTGTTGATTTAGAGACCACGGTCAATTGGTCATGGTTCTTGCACGAACTTGGGAAGGTTGTGGATGGTAAGCGTCAAATTACTTTTATTTCGGACCGTAATCTTGGTTTGTCAAAAGCGATGCCGAAGGTGTTCTCATCGGTTCACCACAGTTATTGCTTACAACACTTGAAGAATAATTTAAGAGACCAGATGAAGGGAATTGATAATGGATTTAAGGACCACCTGGTTAGTAGTTTGTGTGACTATGCTTACGAGCCAACTGTAGTAGGGCTCTATGAAAAGCTTGAGAAATTAAAAGAGGATGGTAAGCAACGAGCTCATAATTTTTTCAAGGAGTTTCCTTGCTTTGTTCTTCATTCTGCAGTAGAAAAAACCACCAAAATCTACATACAACCTCATCAACACATAATCTATATATATACTACTGTAATCATCTATACATATATATGTAACCTAAATATTATTATCAAATACAAATCAAAGCTAAAGCAATGGCAATTCTTGCCATACTCCCAAACCCCAACCTCTTCTCCACCCTCCCTTGAACCCCACCCTCAAACCCCCCTCTACCACCACCACCACCACCACTACCACCAAAATCCCCCATTCCAATCTCCAAATGCCCACCACCTCTCAAATCCCAAACCCCCTAAAACCCACCTCAAATCCCGCCTTCAAGACCTTCCACTGCCGCTACAAGTACCACAAACCAGTCCAAGAAGGCGTCATCTCCTCCAACGGCCATTGCTCTGTCGTTGTCGGCAATTTCGGCGTTATCTGGAGTAAAATTTCTAAAATCAGATTCTTTGTAACTTCAATCAATTGCTACTAGTTGGATTTAATCCAAATCCTTTCAAACCCAAACCCATGTCTATCTTTTTCTCTTTTTATTTCTCTTATTTTAAAAATTGTAATCAAACAACTGAATGGCCTATAGCATGTAACCATTATAAATATTTAATGGTATTTTGGTCTTTTATTAATTTCGTTACGTCCCGTCACTTTTATACATCACTCCAAACTATAAGAAATTTATGAGTATATTTATAAACTTTAAGGAGATAATATGTAAATGCGCCACAAAGAGGTAAAGTGTAAATCTCAAAAATAAATGCACAAGGAGAATAAACGCTTATCAATTAGTCTTATTTATTAAATTTATTTATTTATAAAATTTGATTGATGAATTTATTATTATAAATTTATTTATTAAATAAGAGAAACTAATTTACCCCGAGAAAGTAGGGGAGAGAGAACTTATCTACAAATTTTTCAGGGTATATCTATCCTTACCTGTGGTATAGATTAAAGTGAACCTTCACAATCTCACATATATTTTTAGTACATAATTTTTTAATTATATATGATTGGTGGTAGAAGCAAATTTCTCCTGTTGTAAATGAATATGATAAAAAAAAAACAACAACAACAACAACAAAATATTGTTAGCACTCTCTCTTTTGGGTAGGTAGTGTGTCACCACTCAGCACTCAGATTGCTCACTAACATTTTTTATTTATTATGGGGTGTTTGGTAAGAAAAAAAAAAAACTTAATTTAGGTTAAAATTTACAAAAAAATAAAATAGGCTAAAATAGCTAATAAGATAAAATACCACATCAAACCCATAATCATTTTACTTTTTCTCTCACAATATCACATCCAACCATAAAACAATCCAATCATCTTTCCAAACACAAAAATTTTAGTCTATTAAAATAGCCAAAAACTAAAATAGCCTACTAAAATAGCAACTTCCTAAACGAAGCCATATAACAAATAATAAATAAGATAAGGGTGTAGCTTCCTCTCGTCTTATATCGGATTGAAGAATGTTATTAAATTCGTAAAGGTTCACAATAGGTCTTGTTTCGATAATTTAAATCATTCAATGTGTAAAAATCGTTGAGTACTATATGTTTGTAAAAAATCACGTTAATTAGATATCGATAGTTATCTTATCGAATTAGTTTTTTGTCAACGGCAAATTGTTCACCATCTATTTTTTTATATAAAATTGATTTGATCACTTAGCTATCGATATCCGATTAACGTAATTTTTTATAAACATGTAGTACTTGACGAGTTCTACATATTCAACGGTTCAAATTATCAAAATGGGACCCGTAACGTCCATGGACTCAACAATACTCTCCAATCTGATCTATGACCAGAGAGAAACTACTCCCATCATATAAATGTTAACTAGCGTCCAATAAGTATTATTTAACATATAAAAATATTAAAAAATATATTAATTTTAATAAAAATGTATTAAATTTAATAAAAAAATATTTTATACCTTCAAATTATTTTATGGTTTACTTATAATTAAGGACAATTATTACTTAGAACTAATAAATAATTAAGGACACTTCGAACTAATAAATGAATGAAAGAGTATACTAGCTCATCAATCACTTGTTATGTAAAATACATTTACGGATATTTTCCCTCAATTAAAAGATTTTTGGTATTTCTAACTTTCTAAAATATAGTCATGTTTTTAAAAAGGGATTTTTTTTAAGGTCCCTGATATTAAGAATTTATAATATAAAGGACACTCAATATTTCATAATGTCTAAGGTCCTTCAACATCAATCCAGAGAAAATTCGATCCAGAGAAAATTCAGTCCAGAGAATTTCTCTAGACTTTCCAGAAAAATTCTCTCCAGACATCCAGAGAAATTCTCTTTATCCAGAGAAAATTCAGATAGTCCAGAGAAAATTTAGACATCCAGAGAAAATTCAGATAGTTCAGAGAAAATTCACACAATCCAGGAAACTCTGCATCATCGTGCATTTTATATGTTCTCTTACAAATATCTTTTCATGAAGGGTTACTATCAAAATTCTGTTTGCTAATCCTAGTGCTCTTTGTAGATCAAGTTCAACAAGATGAGGTGGTTGACAGTAAGATTTTGCCATACCTTAGCATAGATAAGAAAGAGAAGAAGTCATTCCCTAGACTTCCAGAGAAAATTCAACTTCAAAGAGAAAATTGGTCCAGAGAAATTCTGGGAAGAATTTCTCTGGACTTTCCAATTTCTCTAACATTCCCTAGAATTCCCACTGTAAATTTCTCTGGCCTTCCATTCTCTCCAGAGAAATTTCCCTTCTCTCTAGAGAAATTGTAATGTGCTTCATCTTGTTTGAATATGCTATATTGTTGATATTGATTCAGAATTTCTACAATTTGTTTGGGAAATTCCTATCATTTTCTTTGAATGAATTCAATAAATTTTTGTTGTACTTATCTACAAATTTTTCAGGGTATATCTATCCTTACCTAATTCTAATGGAGAGTGGGAAATATACAGAAGGCCAGAGAAAAAAATTTCTCTGGAGAGAAGGGAAGACCAGAGAAATTTGCAATGGAAAGTCTAGGGAAGGTAAGTCCCTGCACCAATTTTCTCTGTGAAGTCGAATTTAGCAAAATCAACAATTATTACCAACTCTACAACCTGAATTCTGTAGAATCAAATATCAAATTTCACAGAGAATTCTCTGTGAACTTCATAGAGAATTCTGGTTCACAGAGAATTTCTCTGGTGACTTCACAGAGAAATTTTCAAATTTCTCTGACTAAATCACATACTCATCTCTGTGATTTTCTCTGGCCATCTAGAGAAAATTTCTCTGGCCTTCCCTTCTCTCCAGAGAAATTTCTCTTCTCCAAACCCAAAGAAATTCACTTAAACCAAATAAATTTCCCAAACCCAGAGAAATTCGCAAAGAGATGGAAAAGTCAGTGTATACGCAAAGTGCTTTCAATTTTCAGAGCTTTCAGGGTTTTTAAAGTAAGAACTCCTCAGATTCACACTCTCAATTTGTCCCTTTCTTGTTTATAGGAAATGAGTTTGCTAAAAATGAGGCCAAGGGTCTGAAATTGGCATGGGTTTGTATATAGAGACTCTGTCTTATTATCGGTTTGTCTCTAAAATGTTTTTCAATCTCGTTTATAGTGGTGGAGGAGTGAGAGATTCGTAGATTCGAAGAATGAGGTTCGGTGGATGGTGGACTTATGGGACGCCATACTGGGGTTGGGCAGAGTCAATACATGTGGGGGAGAATATGTCTGATAACAATAGAAGGTTTCTTCGATGATCTGATCCGAGAGGCTGCCAAGAAGACAGAAGGCTTCTCAGGTCGAGAGATAGCGAAACTAATGGCCAGTGTTCAAGCAATCGTGTATGGACGCCTGGCAGCGGCAGTAGGTTGTTGAGTCCAGCAATAACACCATCATCCTTTGTTGCCTGACGTTGAGAATCATTGAAGTAGGCAGCCTCCATGTCTGTTCAACAGCTCTGCAATGCAACTATGGCGCTTTCTCTCTCTAGATTCTCTCTCTAAAATGAGGTTCGGTGGATGATGGACTTCTGGGACGCCATACTGGAGTTGGGCAAAGTCAATACATGTGGGGGTAAATATGTCTGATAACAATCGAAGATTTCTTCGATAATCTGATCCGAGAGGCTGCCAAGAAGGAGCGGCAGTGGGTTCATTGATGATACGCATTACATTGAGTCCAGCAATTACACCATCATCGTTTGTTGTCTCACGTTGAGAATCATTGAAGTAGGCAGCCTCCATGTCTGTTCAACAGATCTGCAATGCAACTATGGCGCTCTCTCTCTCTAGATTCTCTCTCTAGAATGGAGAGACAAATCGTCGAATTGGTTTATGGAGGTTTGAAGGGTGGGGGATATGAAATTTCTCTGTAGGGACTTTAGACATCATAATATAATTTTGTGGACCTCTTCCATTACGAAAAGTGGGAGAGGGACCCTAGACCGATTTTCCCTTTTAAAAATGGAATTTACAATCCAGTGAAGTTTTTTTTAAAAAAAAAAAAATCAAATATATAAAAAAAATTATAATATTTATAAAATTTATCATTGAGAATTATTTAATTTTGAACAATTACATTGACTAGTATTTTTCCCTTTTCAAAAAAATTAACAAAAAGTCTTGGGTCTAATTTTTTAAAGCAATGAATATCATGTGGAAGTAACCACATGACATTAAACTAAAGAGGCGTTTGATTGGGGTATTTTGGAAAGGATTTAAAAAGAATAAAAAAAAATAGATAAAATATGAATAAAATATATCTATATTTTACTTAATTTTACATATCTTTTCTCTTATCATTTTTAAATTTCTTTTTAAATCTCCTAACTAAACACAGTGTAAAGAGCAAAAAATAATTTCTAAAAAAAGAATGTATTGATGTCTCATTTTTAAATTTTTTTCGAAATATCTCTATGTTGATTTCATGGACAATCATATAGTTTAGAATTCAATCATATAGGTAACAATTTATTTTTCTAAAACAAAATGCCACCGACACCCCATCACTACTAGTGTATATATAAGTCGAACCGAAGTCAAGAAAAATACAGAATCATCCACAAAGATGGGTGATCAAAAAATAGTTTCCGCGTCACCGATAATGGCGAACGCCGACGATTTTTCGGGAAAATCGCCTCATGTTGCTGTCCTACCCGGCGCCGGCATGGGTCATCTGACTCCGGCCCTCCGGCTAGCCGCAATGCTATCTTCACGAGGCTGTCTCGTAACTCTAATTGCAGTCAAGCCTACTGTCTCTGCTGCTGAGTCCACCACCATCTCTAACTTCTTCTCCACCTACCCACATATCAATCGTCTCGATTTTGAAATCCTTCCCCGTAAGCCCCCCAGTTCTACCAACGACGACCCTTTCTTCATTCAATTCGAAGCCATTAGTCGCTCTGTTGTTCACCTTCTCAAGCCTCTCTTGTTATCTTCCTCTCCACCTCTCTCTGCTATCTTCTCTGATTTCACTGTTTCCATGACTCTCACTCCTATTCTTGAGGAACTCTGCATACCCAATTACGTTCTCTCCGTTACCTGCGCTAGATTTCTCTCTCTCCTGGCTTACCTTCCTTACTTGATCAATGAAAACTCTCCGAAATTCGGTGAATCCGATGACTATGTGCACATCCCAGGTTTATCCCCACTGCCTCTGTCAACTATTCCTCCACCATTCTTCAATCCAACTCTGTTCTTCACGTCGTTTGCAATATCGAACGCTCTGTTTCTACCGAAAGCGAAAGGTATTTTGGTAAACACCTTTGAGCGATTCGAACCCGACACACTCGCTGCACTCAACAATGGCAGAGTCTTAAGTAACCTCCCACCTGTTCACCCAATTGGCCCATTAGAGCCTTACAAGCTCGAAAAAGGAGAACAACTTTCATGGTTAGACGACCAGAGTGTTAAATCTGTGGTGTACGTTTGCTTCGGAAACAGAACAGCCATGTCAAAGGACCAAATCAGAGAACTTGGAGATGGGTTAGAGAGAAGCGGGTGTCCATTCTTGTGGGTTTTGAAATCCAGCAAAGTAGACAAAGAAGACACCGAAGAGATTGAAGATTTGCTTGGCGATTCGTTTCTGGAAAGGATAAAAAACAGGGGAATCGTAGTGAAAGCATGGGTAAATCAGGAGCAAGTTCTAGCACACCCTGCCATTGGGGGTTTCGTCAGCCACGCTGGATGGAATTCGGTGATGGAAGCGGCTCGGTACGGCGTGCCGCTGTTGGCGTGGCCTCCACACGGCGACCAGAGGGTGATTTCAGAGGTGGTCGAGAATGCTGGGTTTGGGGTGTGGGTGAGAGATTGGGGTTGGGGTGGAGAGAGGGTGGTGAAAGGGGAAGAGATTGGAGGGAAGGTTAAACAGCTGATGAGTGATGAGAAGTTGAGGAATAGAGCTATGGAGGTTGAGGAAGAAGCTAGGAAGGCTTTTCAAGATGCTAATGGGAGCTCTGAGAAGGCATTGATGGGAATTATTGAAACGTTGAGGCTTGCAGAGACTGCCTAACTGGTGGTTGTTTCTTGATTTTTGATCATTCTGTTGAAAATCTCGATCACCCACCCTTCCCTTTTCAAATAAATGCCGGGATTCAATAATTTTGGTGTTTTTTCTTTCTTTCTTTCATGTAAATTTTTTTTTCAATATGACGTTGGGTTGAGTTGAGTGTCTTTGTATTTGGTCAATTGGTGTTTGGTTTGGACAAATGCATATCTATAAAGTTTGTAATTTCCAATTTGAAGTTTGTTGGGTGTCTCACTATATTTGGTTGATGCCTAATGTTGACAAATGCTTCAAATGTTCCATAGACACACACAATGAGTTAAAAGGCTTTTTTCAAATTCACATATCTAATTTTAGAGAACTTAAGGCTGTGTTTGGTAAGGCTCGTAAACTATATTTTCACCTTCCTATTTGCGCTAGACGTTTGAATACAGATTTGAAAATATAATTCTACCATAGAGTTCAAAATGATATTCAAATTCCCGTTTGGCACATTTCTCCCTTTGTTCAATCTCCACTGTAAAAAGCTTCCAAACGTACATATTCTCTCTCTTCAGTCTTCGCAATTTTTGAAAAACTTTACGTGCAGAGAAAATAAAAGCTAAAGATCAAAGCTTAAGATTCTTCACGGGTCTCGTCTTCTCTCTTTGAACTAAACTGTGAGCTTCAAATCATTACCATGTCTGTGAACCCCCTTTCCATCCATAAATTCGCATCTACCAGCTCCCAGAAATCAACGGAGTTTCACTTTGTGCGTTGTGGAAGATTCACCCTCCGGGAAACGAAACAACGACAACAAAGAGGTAAGTAAATCACAAATTCGTCTGGAAATTATGTGTGGGTTATATATATCTCACTAATTTGCACCTTCATTCCCAAATTAATTTGTCTCGGGCCAAATACGGCTCAATCTCCCTCTGTTGTTGTTGTTGGCGTGGTGGCCTCAGATTAGAGGTTTCACCACGTTCAAGTCTCGTTTTTTTTATTCTAGGCATGATTACAGTGTGAATGATGGGTTTTGGAGGTGGGAAATTTCTGATGTGAGGTAAGGAAATGGAGTGAAAATGTAAGCAATAGGGAAACGAAATGGAAGAAACTTCAACTGAGGCTTGGACTGAGCTAAAATCGGTTGACCGGTCGGATAACCCATCGGTTGACCTAGAGGTTGACCGGTGGCAGTGGGGTTCTGTGAGTGATCTGTTTAGCTGATCTGTGATGGCTTTGTTGGCTTCTCCTCGCCAACCTTCAAATGTGAAAGCTTTGTAATTTACAACTCACTGAATTTTTAAACATTTTTCTTCTGTGTTTGTCTTCAAAATGGCTTTGGTATAGGCTTTCTTATAAACTCAGGCCTTGTTTGGCAAGTCGCTGTTTTAGCCTAAAAGTTAAAAAGTTACTAAAAAAATAAATAAGTCAACAACTTATACCAAAAAGTCAAAAATTCACTTTTCTCTCTACTTTTTACATATCTTTTCGTAAAAAGTCAAAAAGTCATCCCAAACATATTAATTTTTTTTACCTCATATTTTAACTAAAAAATTAAAAAATTATTAAAACAGCCTGTTCCGAAACAAGATCTCAATTTCAGTTGAAGAAATTCTTGACAGTAGGTGTCGGTGATGGATGGTTGTAAGATTCATTTATCAATAATGGAGGTGGTTGAACATATACATCGGTTGGAAAATGAGTGAGAGCACTAATTAGTGCTATCACTAATGATGTGGCAGTGAGTCCCACCATAAATGATTTGATATTTTGACCTTAGTATTGTATTTTTTTTTTTATTGAGTGTCATATTATTATTAATTTTTTTAAAACTCCAAAATTAGTGGTCTCTATCATTGTTGGCATGGGTTTGGTTGTTTTGCAGGATACTAATGAATGTTGATCAGCTCACTTCATAAAGCTTCACCAAGCCTCTGACTCATCTTCATCAATGCCGGGTACTATGCAAAAATTTAATAAATCAAATTAAATTAAATTGTGTGTGATAAATTGAGTAGATGTTACAAAAATGATATTCAGTGTGTTTTGTTTGAGTTTTTTGAATTAAGTTTTTTAAAAATTTATTTTTTTGATTTTCGTATTTTTTTATTTTTAGTGAACATTTTTTAAATTTTAAACATTTTTTTTTACTTTTTTAGATGCACCTTACTTAGACGTATCTAAAATGTAAAAAATTTGTGAAAAAATATTTTAAAAAATTAATAAATACATAAAAATATAAAAAATGTACTGAATTCTTGTATTTTTTTTAATATTTTTGGTATTTAGTGAACTTTTAAAAGATTTTTTTACAATTTTTTTTACTTTTTAGGTGTATTTATGTTAGGTGTGTCTAAAAAGTAAAAAAATTACTTAAAATATTTAAAAAATTCAGTAAAAATAAAAAATACGAAAAATAAAAAGTAGAATTTTCTGAAAAGTATTTTTTTAAAAGTGGAAACAAGCAAGATTTTTTTTTCCACTCCTATATCATTTGTTAATATATTTTGGCCATTTATTTGAACATAACAAAACAATAAACAACAAATTATTTGTGCCAATAATTATTAAAAAAAAAAAAATTATCTAAAAAATATGAAAAGAAAAATAATTCGAACCAAATATACAAATCAAAATTTGTTTGACATCAGTAATTGAATATTTATTTCAATTATAAAAAAAATAATTTCCTTTGTAATTTTTTCAATTAAAAAATGATTAATGTAATTTTTTTTTATAATTAACTTTTTAATTGAATTTTAAAAAGAGTTTGCTTATGAGCTTTGATCAGAATTTTCAATAGAGTATTGAATAATATGTTTGGTTATGAGTTATAACAATTTAAAATAAGTTTTGAAAATTATTTTCAAAATCCATAACCAAATCAATTTTCTTATTTCACATGTCACATCAAACATTCAAAACTCAATTTCACACTCAATTCAAAACTCTTTTCAAAATTCATAACCAAACAAATTTTCCACACTCAAATCATAATTCCAAAACTCACAAACTCAAAATACAACTCAATTCTCAAATCATATTTAGGGTTGGTTTGGGGTGTCCTAAAAAAGTGCACTTTTTGTCTTTTTACGAAAAGATATACAGAAAAGTAGAGAGGTGATGTGATGGAAAAAAGATAAATAGACAAAAAGATGGATTATATAGTCTATGCCAAATCAGCTCTTAAAAAATTCTACCAAACGCTAAGGCCCCGTTTGTTTGGAGTTGTAGGGAGGAGATTTTGTTTGATAGTGAGAAGGAGAGTGTCTATTACGAATTTTATTTTCATGATTCAAATTATTTATTTTGTAATGAGTTCAATTCATAACAAAAAATTAGATGGATCCAAATTATAATTTTTTCATTTGTTGCATTTGTTCCGAAAAAATAGACAACAAATTTATGTTGAAAATAAATCATTTATTTTTTTAAAAATAAATATGATAAATAAAAATATTATGATATTTGATTGATGCAACTTTTCTTTTTTTGAATGATATATATAAAAAGTCTTATAATATAAATAGTTTAGATTATTAAAACAAAACTCCTTGTAAACTTTACGAATTCTTTAAATTCTCTTGAATTGAGATATAAATTAGAGAGATGCTTTCACCCATACAAAATAATCAAGTATTCTTTCTCGTAAGATTATTTTTTCGAGTAAATGTTACAGACCAATGACAAAGAGGTTAATGAAAGGGATGACTTCTGTCCAGTCTTGAATCGATTTGGACAGTACTATTGGGTTCATGAGGGCCCACCACGGGTCCCATTTTGATAATCAGAACCGTTCAATATATAGAACTCATCGAGTATTATATGTTTGTAAAAAATCACGTTGATAGGATAACGATAGCTATATGATCAAAATAGATTTTTGTCAACCGTTAATTTATTCACCGTCCATTTTTTTTAATACAAAACTGATTTGATCACATAGTTATCGATATCCGATTAACGTGATTTTTAACAGCCATACAGTACTCGACGATTTTTACATATTGAACAGTTCAGATTATCAAAACGGGACCCGTGATGAATCCTTACGGACTCAACAGTACGGTCCAGTCCGATTAAAAACTGAACAGACGTCATGCCCTTAATGAAACACATTATTGAGATACGGAAAGACGGCCTTGAGAACATGTAAGCATTCATTGTCCTTCATTTTGTAAAAAAATAGCAATATTATAACAAAAATGCTAGAGGTCCCAAAAATTCTACCGTTTTATCAAATGTCTCACATGGGTGTGGGACTCACATGGGACCCACACCTATGTGAGACATTTGGTAAAATTTTTGATAGAATATTTGGGATCTCTAGCATTACTCATATTATAAAGCTTTCAACTTGAATAAAAACGTTTATGAAAGAATAGAATCTTATAATTGTTGAGGTGTATCTTTTTAGTGAAATTTGATATCCAATTGATTTGTCAAAAGAATTTTAATTTAATTTAATTTGGATATAATATATTTTATATATTATATTTAATTTTTTATAGGCCTAATAGATATTTAATAATTTATTTGATACAATTAAGACTTTAATAAAAAGTTAAGATTCAACCATATATAAAAGGGATAATTATTGATAAATCTCATTTAGAAGTGTTTTAACCCAAGAAGTCTATGAATGAATTTTTTAACCCATTTAGTCCCATGTATGTATAATTTTATTCCATAAAGTCTTTTTTCTTGATTTACACTATTTTCTTGGACACTTATGCCCATATATTTAATTTTGATACCCTTATAAATATTTTTTGAACGGTTAGCAATTTTATGATGTGAACATTCATATTTTAAAATTCACATTGATAGGAATGTAAAATTGGCCCATGGACGGCCCGAAACCCGTCTACGAGCCGGGGCGAGCCCGGCCCGTTGACAATGTGAATATTCACATTGACACGTTAACATTCACATTAATAAGAGTGTAAAATTGGCCCGCGTCCCATGGCGGCGCGAAACCCGCCTGCGGCCCATGGACGGGCCCAGTCCGGGCCGTTGAC